ATGGTAACGGGAAGCGTGCCCACCACTTATATTACTACATTTTCGATAAAAAGCATTTAGAAACATCTTAACCCATTTTGTACAGTGTTTACACAATTCGAAAGTAAAAGAAAAAGTCATTTTGACTCAAAGCTGTACCTGCTGCTGCCGTTGGATAGGGGTAGCCCATATTGCCAGGAGCAGTGGGAGGGGAAGGACCCTGGTAGAATCCATTCTGCTGGGGAGGGGGCGGGTAAGGATAGCCGGTAGGCGCCGGTGGAGGCGGACCGTACCCGTTCACCATTCCGGGTGAGGGGTAACCATAGGCAGGAGCCCCATTCTGGGCCGGACCAGCACGGGATGCTACAACACAAAAACAAACTAGGCTTTAAAGGTAAAGGAAACAGTGTGTGCTTTTTATTTATGAGCTTAATATCATCCAATATGGAATAAAACAACTAAAAAAAAATAACAAAAATGTGTATACAAACCATTTGTGGCCAGTTTGAAAAGATGCTGCCCCACTTCAATGGCTCCTCCGCTGGGAAATGACATCTTGAAATGAGCCTGACCTTCCCAGCCGCCTGAATAAACAGTTTCGATTAGAGTAGCTCTTAATTACAATAGTTACCCAATTTATCATTGGTTTCCAATCTGCTAAAAAGGACACTCACCACCAGGCTCAGCCGACACGGTGCCTTTGATGTAGTTGGCGCCAAACACTGGTTGCTCAATGCTGCAGCCTTTCATCAGATAGTAGGGGAACATGGCTGAGCCTAAGCAGTCCTTGTTGTTGCTGGACACGAACATCAGCTGAGAAGGTGAATACAAATAAAAATTGTGTGAAAAACATGAGGATCACAGCAGCATCCTGAGCATGTTAACTGTGGAAAAGTGAGTTACCCTGTATGGAGTTAGATAAATGGTGCCTTTCTTGGTCCCTTTCAGCAGATCAGTCTTGCAAGAGAAGTCGCTGAATGACAGCTCCACATTCTTACATTGTCTTAAGACACTGACAGGACAATGGAGAGATAAAAGGTTAAAAAAATTAAACAAACAACAAAAACTGTCAAACAAAGTGAATATCCTTACTATGAATCATTGGCGTTGTAGAAAACAATATGACATCTTTGCCATATATAATGTATTCTAGAATATTATTAGACTAAGCTAATCTCTAGAGATGCACCAGCTAATTAGTCAGAAATTAGCCTAAACTGGACTGTAATCACATCTTCCAACAAGATGTACATTGATGCAACTTTTTAGCATAACAGTTAGATAAAAGTCAGGGCTGTATACTTCAGTGCAGTTTCTTTTTGTTGTTGTTGTTTTAACACATTGAGATTATAAGTAAATATAAGTGTCAATTTATATTCCTTTCAAAGAATGTGGAGTTTTGGTTTCATTATGGTAAAGTCTATGGTAGTAATTGGGTCAACTTCTCAATGCAGTTAAGTGCTTTGAGTAATTTTAAAGATGATGTAAATAAATATAAAAGGCCAAAGCTCTGTGACATTTTAGGTAACTTCGGTATTTTCGATATTCGATATTTGCTGTTTGTAACCCGAGGTTGCGTCAAATTGGTGCGTGATGAGATTATTGCTGTAGCAAAGTGTCAACATGAGAAAAGCAGCCATTACTTCCTGTTATGACAGACGGGGCTAACGAAATGAGTTAGCCAAAAGCAAAACTAAATTTCACAAAAACGTAGGGGTAACAAAAAAAGAGACAGCATTACATTTTCGGTATATTGTTAAAAATGTAAAGGTTAAGTCAGAAATTCGGGGTGTTAAAAGAAAGCGCAACTGCTAAGCAGGCTAGCTTTGCTAATGTTATCCCGTGAGCTAGCTCCACCTAAAGAGATGTAAACAAGCTTCGTGACGACACGACAGCTGCTTACTTTATTACATAAACCCAGAAGAAACCCCATAAAACACGCACCTTTCTCCGTTATTGATCAAAACTCCGCCGTTTTGCGAATGGTTCCGATTTAGAGCCATGTTCAGGAGCCGTGTGAAACTTCTCCTGTTGCCTGTGGTCAATGCTAAAGCCTGGAATCGTCACAGAAGAACGTTCACGGATGACACAGCGCTTACGTCATCACACCATCTGGTAACTCGTGACCTGACTGGAAGTTTTCTTGCTTGTTCTTCTTCTTCTTCTTTAATTATCATTGAATAACAGATATGTTCTTCAAATATCTGTTGAACACTTTATGAGAAAATGATTCAAAATAATATTAACTTTGTACAAAAACTACTGTGAATGAAAAAATGAGTCCATAAACATGCTCAGTTTTTGAGGATGTTTAATGTTCCAACATCTGTGCGAGACTGTATACTAATTACAGTTTAATTTATCTGTACTGTACAGTTCAATATGGTTCAAAGTAGTTTTGTTAAATTGCTACAAATCAAAAAATGGATGCAACTCTAAGAAAAGATATTGTTACTATTGTCATTAATAGTTTGGATGAAAAAGGTAATAAAATGTAAGTTCTACACTTCATTGTCATTCATTGTCCTGTGGTTAATTGTTGTCAGTTTCACTGAAATAATGACTTTATATATATTGACTAATGATCAAAAAAGGATGAAAGCTCAAAACGTCTCACCTCAAGGCTGAATTGGTAAAATATTTTAAAACCTAGAAAGAGTTAAGAAACCTGACAAACTATAAATAATTTTATTGCAATTAAATGTTTTCTTTAAAACGTACGACATTGTATGGAGCTGAATTGGGGCCATGAAGCTTGTTCAAAAAAGCTTTTTTGAAACTGAAAGACAAATTTTGAAATATCCATCCTTTGTGTCTTTATCTTTTTGCTTTGTATTGTAAATGTTCTAATTTTCGTGGTAATTTTTATATCTTCATATGCTAGATTTAGAATACAGTTGCCAATTTTGATTCACATAAAAATTATTATTATTACTATTATTATTTTACTTTTCTTCATTTTCACAGACGTGTTAGTTTTCTGTTTTAACACTACGTTGGCAAGCCATTTTTTTAACTAACAAGTTTATGCGCCGTTTAAAACGTTCCTCGACACTCTCACTATATCATTTTTGGCCTCGGAACAGTATCTGCTATTTATTCAGTATATAATTTTACAGTTTTGATTATGAAAATAATTAATCGTGATGGGTTGAACTTCATCAGATAAATGTCGGTAGAATGGAAACACGAAGCTCTGTGCTCCTCTGATTGAGGAAGAAACAAGCGCTGGACTAATTAACGCTAATTAGCACGAGTCACGTGACCTTCACTTATAGAATCACACAAAGGTCTGGGAACCTTGGAGTCAAGAAAGAAAGACAAATAATAATACAAATTAAAAGGAGATGAGTTACAACTGCATGAAAGCCAGACTGGTTTCTTTGGTTTTGATATTGATGGCGCAGGGCTGTTTCTGCGTCTCCAGCTTTCAGGGGAAGGAAAAGCGGGCGCAAAACGCACAGCTGGCTTTACCTGCCGTCACCTGCTCAGTCCGTGGGATTAAAGCGGTGTTTGGTCCGCTGGTCACGAATAAACTGCATGTCAGAGGTAAGATCACAGCTGTTACCCATTTCAGTCATTTAGTTTAAAATACCTCAAAGTTATTTCTAATTAATCTCTTATCCACCCTCCTCCCCTTGGAAATACTCCCTCATAATTGCGTTTACTTTGTTGTTGTTTAGACGTATCAGGTACTCCAGTCCCTTTAGTTAATTCTAGGAGATCCTGTGGAGTGAAGGTGGGTAAAGAGAAGAACCAGAACCTCTCGTTTTTCAGCAGATATGACAGCTGCTACGCAAGGATAGAGGTCATACTTTACTTTATTAGAAAAAAGAATGTAAAGAAAGTATAATCCAAAACCTCTGTGCATTGCATGTTTGACCGTTTTCCCCTCTGCAGGGCAACAAAGTGGTGATCCCGCTGATGGTCCAGTTGACAGGAGAGAACCAATGGATCAGAGTAAACATCAGCTGTCCTCTGATCAAGAGAAGCAGTCAGAAAACCCAGCCGACGTTGTGTAGGTGACCTCTGACCTCAACATCAACAGGATCCAATGGATACTGTTAAAGTCTTCCCACATGACTTTCTTCTTGTCGCACTCAAATCTGTTTAAGCGAACAATTTTCCCCGACAAACTGGACTGGTTGTACTTAGGAATCACCCAGCTCTTTTCTTCCTCCCACTTTGAGTTAGTCTGTCACATAATCAGTATTGTATGTTAAGGAATTTTGAGTGTTTCAAAATGTGGAAAATCATAACATTGAATGCTTGGTTATTGTTATTAGCTTCTTCTCCAGCTTCCCTCGGTGAATGCAATGCTGATGAGTCCCTGCGTTTAAACTGTGGTCACCAAAGCATCACCAGCAATGCCTGCCAAAAACTGGGATGCTGCTACGATGCTCAGTCTCCCGCCTGCTACTACAGACTTGATGGTAAAAGGAACATTTCACCTGTGAGAGATTGTAGCGCGTACAAAAGAGAAACAAACCCCCTTAATATTTTACCAAACTAATTCCTTGTGTTGCCTTTTTTTGTTTGTTTAGCATGCTCTCTGGATGGACACTTTGTGTTCACGGTCAAGGCTACGGACACCCATCCACCCATTGACCCCGGCAGCCTCGTGATCAAGGATCAGCCTCACTGTTTGCCTGCAATCTCAACTTCAGATACTGCCGTCTTCAAGATGGGAGTCATGGACTGCGGCGCGAAGATGAGGGTAACCCATCACGTCTCAACTTGGTTTCATTTCCAACTATGGAGAAGAAGGAAGTTCAAACCGTTTCTCCCGTCAGTCATAATGGACAACAGTCACATGACATCCGCAAACTCCAATTTCTCTGTTAGAACGTCAGTATGTTGACGAAAAGATGGATGGAGCTTAAATGCTGGATGGTCCTGGAAGAAAATCTGGTGGAGGCTCCAGGAAAAAAAATGAACTATGACCCTAAACATTTAGTCCAGATCTAACAAAACTGACACTCAGATTCTCTCTATCCAGTTTGTCTAAAGCTATTCGACAACCCAACAGACCGGCTGCTACAACTGCAGCCAAATGTGCTTCTGTGGCATTGAATGCCAGAATTTTCCTATGCACCCTGTTCCATCCTCTTTAAAATGTTGGCACTACTTATGTTGGTTTTAGTTTCAAATAGTTTCTCACTTTAAATGTCCAAACTGACATTTAAAGTGGAGGCTATAGTATTTGCTTTTCCTTCTAGAAAGATGGCAATCTGGTGATATATGAGGTTGAAGTGGAGGAGCAGAACAAAAAAAGGAAAAGACATTCACCCTTCAGGTATTGCTCACCCTTTTCTTTTCTTCTGGTGGTATAAATGAGCTGATGAAATGTTGGAGTTGTTTTTTTAAGTCTGCAGGTTGAGTGTGAATATGACGAATCTGACCTGAAACATGCAAAAGACTTGAGGTCTTTGTACACCGTGACCAATCCACCAGCTGTAGTGGCACAGGGAGCCATGAGGGTGCAGATGAGATTAGCAACAGGTACCAGGATCTTCTCTGTTTCTTTTTTTTTTTTTGCAGCTTCAGCTGCTCAAAACCCATTCCTGACCTACTTTGGTTCCCTTCTAGATTCTTCCTTTACCACCTTTATCCCAGAAGACCGGCTTCCCCTAAAGCTTCCACTGCGTCAGACGGTGAATGTGGAGATCTCCATCGTCCCACCGTCCCCTGACCCTGCACTCTCGCTGCATGTGCGAGACTGCTTTGCCTACCCCCGGTCTAAGCACTCTGTGTGGACCCTCCTCCACGATGGGTTAGTCGGGCCTACAATGCGTCAATCTGACAGTCATGTTGGAACCTCAAAGTGGAATGGTTAATGTTTTTTTTTCCTTTCCCCTGGACAGATGTCCTAACCCTCTAGACACCATGAGGAGCTCTGTCCCTGTGGACAACCAGGGGAAGACCACCACCTACTCTCAGGTCAGGCGCTTTGATGTGAAGACCTTTGCCTTCTTGGACCCTGATACTGGCAAACCAAGTGTGGAACAGGTACCCTTATCTAATTTTACATTTGGTTTTGGATATTTTTAAAACCTGCTTTAGCATGCTGTTAGCCTTTATAAGACTCCATAAGACCTTTTTGATGCTGCCTTAAATTAAATTTAATTCAATACCCTGTATTGAATTGATTATTGGGAGGTTTTGCAATCAAACAGCAGATCCTGAAATTTCTGGGGTCTGTTTCTCACACTGCATATGGCTCTCTTAACCCCCACATGGGCTAGCTTAAAAGTTTTTGGGGTCTTTTTGATTGATCAAGCACAGAATGCGACTGGCCTCATATGGCTTTTCAACAGAAATAAACTAACAATGATTGTCATCAAAGCTAACTCATAATGGATGCAAAAAAGCCAGCTAGTTAGGTTACTGAGGGTATTTTAGCAGCTAGTTGTTGTTAGCCTCAGCTACCAGAACACAGTGAAGATGTCTGTTTGCTACTCGAACATTTGAGAGAAAAGACCAGCAAGCAAAACTACGAGATTAAATAGTCCTGTCACAACAAGATTTAAGATCTGTAATTGGTATATTTAAGGCCAACTCTGTTGTATGAATTTAAGACATTTTAAGGCCTTAGTTTTAGAGGCATGAATTTGAGGCTTTTTAAGGATGTGCGGACACCATATTTTGATGATATAACTATGGCTGCTAGCCCAGACTAGCGGTCTGTGGCTGCAATAAGTGAGTCTTAGTCATGTTGGTTGAAAACCGTCAATTTCTTTTAGAAATGTTAAAAATACTAAAATGTAAATAAAATTTTTAAGAGTATAAATGAGGTGCATCGCTGCTGAACTAGCATAATTTAATTCCCTCTAAATATAAATACTTTTAAAGAATATTTAGAGAGAGATAACGCTACTGAAATAAGCTTATGCTACATGTCTAATGAATGCGGCTCTTTTTAGATGTACTTCTACTGTTGGGTGGAAATCTGCACAGAAGATGTGGACTGTGCCCAGCGTTGTACCATCATCTGTAAGTATGACTTTCATATATATTTTTCTTCTGTATTTTTTTTTCTTTAACTGTGTTGTACCCCCGCAGCATCGGATGCGGAGCGACAGAGGAGGCA